GGTGGAGCAGTCTAGATATGTATTATCAGGGAGATATTAAATAACTGTATCTACCATATGTTGCTTCCTTGTATGCGGAAGGAAGAAGAAAAGCTAAGGGCACTCCTTATACTGGTAGCAGAGAGCTGAGGTTTTTTTGTTTTGTTTTTAAGAAATCTTGACTGATTTTATTGTCATTCCAGGTTCCGGTTTAGTATATTTTTCATGATTAATATTCCAGTATGAAGCACATATTAGTTATCTATTGCTACCTAACAAGTTATGAACAGCAATAATAAAACCCCTAACCCATTGTCGCGCTTAAATAGTACAAATCATATAGTAACTTCAGCTAATATTTGATGTAGTCAACATATATCTTATGAGCATTATTGATGTGCAAGGTGCTGTGCTTGGAGTTACTCAGAATAGAAAGAAGTAAAAGTCAGGGTCTCTGCCCCAGAGGAGCTTGTGTTTAGGGTGAGGGATGTAAGAGTGAATGCACGTGAAGTAATCGACCATGGGCTGTGTGATGTTGGCAAAGAGTTTACACATTATTTCATGCTATTGTTTCATTGATAAGAAAACAAATCTAGAAAGGCTAAAAGAGGTGATGTAGCTGATTAGAAGTCAGACCGCAACTGGGCCACAGGTTTCCAGGCCAGTGTGTTTTCTTTTTTCTTTTATTCTAAGATAATATACATCTAAAGTTAAAACTATGTGGCACTGACTATGTAAGATCCAAATAAGTTGAGGAAAGGAAGATGGGTGGCTGTGAGTAGTCAAAGAAGAATTTAAGGAGAAGGTATGATTGAGATGTGAGTGTAAAGAATAAATAGGGGAAGCAGAATAATTCGATTATTGGGAACCAAATATTCGTTACATTCATGGTACAGAAACAACCAGCTAGACTAACTTGAAAGGTACATGTTGGGCAGTAGAGGGAAATTAGGTTCAGGGGCTTGAAAGTGTGGGAGAGGAACTTGGACTTCATGTGGTAGATCATGGGGAACTATTCTCAATCCTGGAGCATGAAATGACACAATGAAAGTGGGATTAAGGAAGATAATGTTTGTTTGCCAGGAGAACTGGATAGTGTCTGCATTTTTCTTTTCTTACGTTCTGTTTATTGGTCTGTTTCATTCTAAGTAGATTAAATACTGTATTAGTCAGAAGGCTGGCTTATGTTGTAGCCACAAATTAACCCTGAAATCTCAGTGGCTAAACACATAAGTGTGTTTCTTATTTGTGCTACTTGGTCAACACGAGGTGTTGGGGTAAGAGGTGGGGAGTTCTCCACTTACTCATTCAAGGATCCAGGCTAACAAAGGTTCCCACCATCTAGAACATCTCTGGTCACTGTGACAGGAGACAGGAGGGGAACGGGGTATCTCACCACTCTCTGACCCTTCAGCCTGGAAGTGACATATGTCACTTCTGCCCCCAACCCATTGGCCAGAAGTAGTCACATATGCCCCTAAGGGAATTGGAGGGTATTTGGTGAACAGTGTCTCTTTTGAGGACCTGGACCATAATTCTGCTTGTTTAATACAAATAGTATAGTGATTAAGATTAATGGTGCAGACCCTGGAATTGGACTGCCAGTATTTAGAGCTTGGCTCCCCCACTTACAACTGTGTGACCTTGGGCATTTTACTGTTTCTCTGGGATATCATTTCCTTGTCTATAAAACAGGGAAAGTAATGGGACGAGCCTCACAGAAGTATTAATGAGGTTTGAATGAGATTTTATATATATATATATATGTATGTAGTATGTATATTGCTCCAAGCATTATGCCATGTTACTATTAGCATGTATTTGTGTTGGTGGTGTTGTTATTACTCTGCTGGCTTCCAGTGTAACTTCTGGAAGGAAGGCTGATTTCTGACAGTAGTTGAGGGGCCGGGGGAAAGACATCCTTGCACTGAGTCAGCCTCCAGGCACTGGGTCCGATGGTGTGGATTTCATGCCGGTTCCACCTCTGCATGTGACCTGGCACTCAAGGTCCCTCATCAGCAAAATTGAGATAATAATTGTCCCCATCTCTTAAGGCAAGGAGGATTAAGTGAAATAATGCCTGTCAAGTACTTGGGAAAGTGGCATGTAGGAAGCAGTCAATGAATGTCCTTAGCTAATTGAGCTTTTATTTTAGAAGAAATTTGGGGATTATCTTTTAAGTGATCATTTATTTCAGAGTTTTGATGTAAAACAGACTTGCGTTGGCAGCAGTTCTCATGAGTGCATTTAGTCCGTCCTGGCTTCAGAATAGGCCATGTTGTCAACCAATCAGCTTTTCATTTTTCATTCTGACCTCAGTAGTCAATAAGGACATGTTTTTAGCTTTGCAGAGAATAACAAATTACAATGGGCTAAAGAGTGACCGAAATAGACCGTTTTGAGAGCTACTTTAAGGTCAGTGCTTCCCCCTTTTAAAATTGCCTGGTAGTTTTTACTGATTGGTAGGAGTCACTGCCCTTGCCTCTTGAAATATAAAATTATTTCCAAGCAGAAATCTATCTACATTTAAATTGACTCATTGGGTAATCAGCTCTATTTTTTAATATGCCTAAATTGCAGGGTCCTAGAGGATCACAGTCTTCAATTACATACATGCTCTAGTATATATGCTCTAGTATATGTAATTAAGCATGTAAGGTATGTCTTTTCATTGAGAAATTAAGAACTTTACAGATATTTCAACAGGGCTTTAGAATTTTGTTAGTTATAGTACAAAACAGGTGCTATTCATTTAGATGGATATTTGAGAGCTTCTTGTGTGCCAGACTCTGTACTAGGTGCTGTGCACATAGCAGATGACATCCGTGTCTTCTTGGAACTCACAACCTGGCCAAGTTGATAATCTACCCACTGCTGGCTTTTTGTCCTGTTTAAGGATTAGATGGTCTGCTGCATATAATGGAACAGTCTTGATGTTGCCTCTCATTTACCAGGTCCCTCTTCGGAACTTCGGTTTCTTAATAAAGCATAGCTGATACTATGTGCTTATCCTGTTGCACAGGAATATGGAAAGGAAGACATTACATGAAGTATAGACTATTTTGTAAGTTCTTGAGTTTGTCACATGTACCTAATATCATTTCTGACATCTAACATTTACCATTCTGCACTCTCTGTATTGTTCTGTACTATCATTGAAGAATTGATGCATTTATACTGATTCAAACTAAATAGCTTTGAGGTTTTTTTTTAAACTAACCAAATATCCTTTTAGAAAAAAAATAAAATTATGGAGAGGTAGATATAATTAGCTGCTATATAACCGTCAGCTTTCCTAGATAAGTTTTTCTAGCTCATGATTATTATTTAAAATTATTAATAATGTGTCACCTGATTCATATAGAAAATACTTAGAGGGTTGTGATTTTCAAACAATGTGTTGTATATAAGGCCACCCCTTTGTTCTGTAACAGAATACAAAGATTATACAACACTGTCCCCGTTCTCCAAGTTTACCTACTCCATGAGGGAAATAATTGTAAAGCCAACTAATAATCCAAGACACTGTAAGGGTGCCCAGAGGCCATGTGTAAACCATGGCTTCATGAATGAAATAGGTAGTAAGGGCCTTTTGAAGGAGAGTGAATAGCTGAGTTTTTCTGGAGTACAGACTTTTTTCTTTTTTTTTAGGATTAGTTGGAGATAGGGTTAAAGTTTACCTTTTTGGCACTATGACTACTGATTGAAGAAAATCATTTATATAGATTTGGGGTACAGTGGAGGTAGGAGGCAGAAAACTAAACAGATAAAAGAATGTGTTATTCCTTTGACAAGTGACATAGATATTTACTTTCTTATTTGAAGGATCTTAAGATCCTTAGCACAGAGAGGACTTTCTCATCTGCTGTGAAGCAGCATGTTGGCTCATACATAAGCTAGTCTATGTTCCAGTGTCGTTATCAAACTCATGCACCATAATGATGCACTGAAGTTACAGTGGCCTCTGTTTCTGATTTTCCTTTAGTAACTTTCATTACAGTTTTTCTTTTGGGATCTAATTCAAATGACTATGTAAGTGCCACCCTGCATAACATGTAGTCTTCTGCCCTTTCTTCTCCGTCACTTGGGGGGTTTGTGTGTGGAGTGAAGGGAAAGGCCCTGAGATCCGGACTTCCATCCATGCAGTCTCACCTGTCTTATCAAAAATCTGTTACAAAGATCAGTGCCTTTTTTTGGTCATTGGCTTCAAGGTCACGTAGCTCTTTGTGAAATTCACATAATACAAATCTGAAAGTACTCAGTAAATGGTGTTGACTCAACCATAAAGATTAATTTTCTTACAGGGTACAAGTTGGACACGAGTAGGATAAGAATTCAAAAGAAAAGATTTCCAGGATATAAAGCCTAATAAAAATTTAAAGTATGACTCATGATATAGTGCTTCATTTCTTTCTGTTCCATTATCAAAATTGGTATTATTGCTAACATAGATACTGTATTGAGGTAATTTGGGGATTTAGTAAAACAAATTTGACCTGGCAGACAGGGTGACTCTACTTGCAAAGGCCATACTGTTCATGCTAAGGTATTTATGTGAGCAAATGTATAATGTTGCACAGAATCTTGGGAACTCTTTAAGTTCATAATTTTGCATTTTTCCCCCTATCTTATTTAGGCAAGCAGCAACTATGCCTCCTGCCCTTCATCCCCTTTGCCCTTTTTGGTAACCCAAACCACTGAAATGCAGATCAGGGTACTACCAACCTATGAATAAAAAAGAAATGATCCCCCAGGCACCCCAGAAAAGCCGAGCATATTTGCAGATTTTTTTTGTTTCCAAGCAGAATTCAAGTGGACCCTCCTCCCAGTGGGTGCTTCCACATAAGGTCCTTGTCATATGCCTGACTGGTGGGCCCGTCACTACTCTGGGGGCTGCTTGGGAAAGAGCTCGGTGTTTTCATTGCCTCCGTCACCATCATTACTTACAACGTTATCATCCAACTCTATCTATTGCTAATTCTGCTCTCCCTGTAAGTGGACATTGAAAGACATACTCTTAATTTTGTAGCATCCTGTTCTTTATTCCAAAAGAGTTCTTTGAAACAAAATATTATGACTCAGAACAAAACAAAACAAAATGCTGATGTTATTGAGGAGATAAAAGTCTTAAGACTGAAAGAAGTAGGGATTAAAGAAATATGTTACCAAAAAGAAAGAAACATGTTACAATATTGACATTTTTACATGGGCAGTATACAATCTTACAGCCTTTTCTTTTGCCAAATTATTGGCAGGAAGTACGTGATGCTGTAATTTTTAATTTTTTATGAAGAATTTTCTTAATTTTATATAAAACTCTACAGAGACTTATTAAAATAGCCTCCCTTTTGGTATAGTATTTCACTTACAAATTAGAACTTTGCTTTATGTTATTTTCTTGAGTGTAGAAAATAATACACATCAGTTTTCTTCCAAGTTGGAGGTGGGAGCTAATGCCCAACGAAAGGAATTTACAGGAATCCTTATTGGAAGTTGAACAATCATTTTGCTTTATGAGAAAAGTCCGGCAAAGTTTGTCATACAATCTACTTTGCTGTAAACCCAAGATTTAATTCCTTTTTACTTTCCGTTTAAAGACTTGGAATGTATCATTGTTTGAGTTTCTGTCATTTCACGTGAGTTTTCTTCAGGGGCTGACCTCACGGCACTGGAAATTGATATACTGACCTGACGCTTCAACATCTTCATAACCTTTCTCTTATACCCTTTACATGCAAAGAAATATATAAAAGGGTCCATGCAGCAATTGAAGTTCATCAGACATACTGTAAAGTGCAGGGAGATCTGGAACGAATGTCTTTGGCTGCATTCCAGGAGACCAGGAAAATGAAGCTTCTTAATCATGTGTTGAATAATTGCAACATGGTAAGGTGTGAAACAGAGAACAAACACAACAATTATAAAAATAATTGTGTTGAGAGCCTTTTTGTTTACACCAGATTTCTCAGTTAGTGGGTTTTGTTTGGCAGTTTTAAAGAGTTTGCAACAGATTTGAGAGTAGCAGATGAGAATGATCAGGAGAGGAAGCACATATCCTATGAAACATGCACCAAGCAGCATCCAGGGAAGAGATTTTGTTTCTTCAAAGTTTGGATATTCCATGCATGTAGTCCTTTCTTCCTCCTGCTTTGACATAGGTTTTATGAGTAGCGGGAGTGTTTGAGCAAATACTAGAATCCAGACACATATGCAAATGCATTTTGCATGTTCAATTCTTTTCATCTTGTTGTACCGCAGAGGGTGCACCACAGCAAAGAACCGGTCAATGCTCAAGCAGGTCATGAAGTTCACACCTGCGTATGTATTGATGTAAAATACCAGCGCAGTTATCCTGCACAAGGCGTCGCCGATTTTCCAGTCAAAGCCCAGGGCGTAGTAGGCTATCCGTGTAGGCAGAGCAGTGGTGAAAAGTATATCAGAAATCACCAAGTTTGTTGAATATAGGGTAGTAGAGTTGATTTTTTTCCTGTTTTGAATAATGACAACCAAGGCTAGCACATTTCCTACAAGCCCAATTACGAAGACAATGCTGTAATGCAGAGGCATTAGTATCCTGGCTGTGCTGTGGTGTGCATAGAGATCACAGTCGTTGCCCTGAGAAGCTGCAAAGACTATTGTAAAATTGTTGTCCAGTTTTGTATCCATCATTGGTGTTCACAGTCTCTAGGAAGAACCAAGGAGAGTACTTTTAATTAAAACCATATTTAGCTAAAAGCAATATAAATGCCTTTTATAGATCTAACTTTAAAAAATTTTAAGATTTATATAATTTTTAAAAATCTATGATGTGTTGCACAGTAAAGGAAACCATCAACAAAACCTTAGAAAGGCACCCTAGTGAATGGGAGAAGATATTTGCAAATGATATATCCAATAAGGGGTTAGTATCCAAAATATATAAGCAGCTTATTTGACTCAAAACAAAAATAATCTGATTAAAAATGAGCAGAGGACCTGAATAAACATTTTTCCAAAGAAGACCTACAAATGGCCAACAGACACATGAAAAGATACTCGACCTCACTAATCATCAGGGAAATGCAAATCAAAACCACAGTGAGGTATCACCTCCCACTGGTCGGAATGGCTAGTATCAAAGAGACAAGAAGTAACAGGTGTTGATGAGGATGCAGAGGAGGAGCCCTTGTGCACTGTGGTGGGAATGCAAACTGGTGCAGCCACTGTGGAAAACAGTATGGAGGTTTCTCAAAAAGTTAAAAATTGAATTACCATATATCCAGTAATTCCGCTAATGCGTATTTACCCAAAGAAGATGAAAACATGAATTCAAAAGATATATGTACCCCTATGTTTATTTTAGCATTTACAATAGCCAAGATATGGAAGCAACCCAAGTGTCTACTGATAGGTGAATAGATACTACTCTCACACGCACACGCACACTCATGCAGGAGTATTACTCAGCCATAAAAAAGAATGAGATCTTGCCATTTGCAACAACATGGGTGGATCTAGAGGGCATTATGCTAAGTGAAAGAAGTCAAGAGAAAGATAAATACCATATATTTCTCTTATATGTGAAGTCCAAAAAGCAAGAGAAACAAAAAAATCAGAAACAGAACCATAAATACAGAGAACAAACTGGCGGGGGAGTATAGTGAAATAGATAAAGGGGATTATTAAGAAGTACCCCCCCAAAAAAAGAAAAATCTGTGATGTGTAATAGGTTTACATATATAGTAACAAGAACAAAGAATCAGATTTATGTTTTTACTCACAATTTGGTGATTTTGACAAAGCCCTGGCAAAGGAAACAAAACCATCTAAATAGAGCAAATATATTTTTGTGACAAGAGGGGTTGCACTAACTCTTTAGGCAGAAATTTCCCCTTTTTTTTCTGAATCACTGGTTATGAACAAAATCATGTGCAGCACCCCACATTTCAGACGGGAGTAAAACTTTGCTTTTAAATTGAATTTCAGTTGGACTTTTTTTTTTTTTTGTTCAAATGCGTATCACTGCCAGGAAATGAAATCAGTCACACATTTATTTAGTGAAATATGAATTTACCACAGTGATCTGATTTGTGTTAACCTAAAAAGTATGAGAAACAAGCTAAGGCCTTGTTAGGAACTGAAAGTTAGGTTTTCTTTTAAAAAAGAAGAAGATGGTAACCACGACAACCACGACAAAAAACGACGAAAAAGAAAGAAAAAAACTTAAGCTGTGTCAGGGGGAAAGATTAAGATTCATTCTGAGCTAGATCATTCCCCAAGTACTCCACTGAGGCATGCAGTGTACATTCCTACATTTCACATGCTAGTAAGCATTACACACGTGGTGTCTTGTGTTCTGCCTTGTCCACTTAACATGTTCATGGATCAGTGTAATCTATGTATTTGTCATATGTAGATCTCACGTAGACATTGGATATTTCTACAGTATTCCAGTGTATTAATGCATAATTTGCTTAGCTACTTCCTTGATGAATATTTGGATTATTTCCAATTCTTTTCTTGTGTTAAATAATGTTAAGATGAAATTTCAAGTCCTACGTTGAAAAGTGGAAAACTACAATAAAACTCCTTACATGGGGCTGAGCTTTGGATGAAACTTAGGGAGAGCAGAACAATAACTTCTGTGAAGTTATTTTTAGAAGAAAAATGACATTCCGATAGGACTATCTCTGAGCACAGATCTCATCTGAAAGTCACCAAAATTAAGGGAAGATTTCAGTATATCTAGTGATGATGGTTTACATTAAAAGAAAAAAACTCTATCCCTAGCCATATCAAAGCACTGACTGCTCCTCTAACTGCTAACTTAGTTCTCACAGTCTTAAACAGTGAAACTGACTGACAGTGGGGGTTATCAGGGGATGATGTTATAATGTTATAGGTGTGCACTACATACAGTGTTGATAGGTTAAATTGTTAAAATATGGAAATACGACCTAAAGCAAAAGGGAACAAAAAATGGAAGTGGTACTTTCTGTTAAACCAGAAAAATAGGAAAGGAGATTATGAGAAAGAAATTTAAATGGATTGAACCCACCTATTGAAAGAAACTAGCTTTCAGTTGGGATTTGTAAAAAAAAAAAAAAAAAAAAATCCAGCTGTATGCTGCTTAGAAGAGACACAGTTCAAAAAGTGACTCAGAAAGGTTGAAAATAAAGGCATGGGAAAACACGTATCAATCAAATCCCAACCAGTGGAAAGCCAGAGTAGCAATACTAACGTCAGAAAACAACAGACTTCAAGGCAAATTCAGTATCAGTGAGATGAAGAGGGTCACGAGAGAAGTAAAAGAACAGTTCACAAAGAACATAAAAATCATGAATTATGCATGTAACAGCAAAATTTAAGGGAAAAATTGGCAAATCCACAATCATAATGGGAGATTTTAGCACATCTTTATTAGAATGTGCCAGATAAAAAAGAGATTAGAGACTTAGAAGATTTACCCAATGTGATTTTGCAGAATTTGTGCTGAAGAGACATGAACATTTTTGCAAATTTGGCTTTATACAAGGTCATCAGAGGATCTTAGAACTTTCCGAAAACTGTTAACCTAGCAGCTGATAATGACGTGCCTACAGGGCAACTAAATTAGAAATCAACAATAAAAAGATAAAGGATACATTTGGAATCTAAAAAAAAATATGCTTCTAAGAGACTCATGGGTTAAGAAATCACAGTGGGAATTTTGAAGTACTTAGAACAAAATGACAAAAATACTCTATGCCAAACTATGAGATGCAGCTGAAGTGTTAATCTCAGACGCAGAGCCTTGAATGCATTTACTTTATTCGCACATTTTTATTTGAGTATAGTTTTTTTTTTTTTAAGATTTTATTTAAAGTTTTTTTTAAGATTTGACAGAGAAAGACACAGCGAGAGAGGGAACACAAGCAGGGGGAGTGGGAGAGGGAGAAGCAGGCTTCTGCCAAGCAGGGAGCCCGATGCGGGGCTCGATCCCAGGACTCTGGGATCACGACCTGAGCCGAAGGCAGACGCTTAACGACTGAGCCACCCAGGCGCCCCTATTTGAGTATAGTTAACACATGTTACATGAGTTTCAGGTGCACAGCATAGTGACTGAACAACTCTATATGCTTGTGAAAGCATGTATTTTTTTTAAAAAGATTGAAAATAGATAAACATACAGTTCCGGAAGCTAGAAAAGAATTGTTTACCTAAGGAAAGTGGAAGAAAATGATAAAGATAATTGTAGAAATTAATAAGATTGAAAACAAAACAAAAACCCAATAAATATGGACTTTTTGTGCAGAAAAAAAAATGATTCTTGAAATCATGGGAATTGCAATTGTGGAATGAAAGTAGAAAAACCTTTATCCACCTAGTTGAGAAAGGCTTCATGTGAGAAGTAACTTTTCAAGAACTGAGACTAGACAGAGGTGAAATCCCAGACAGGTGTTATAACTTAGGAACAGGTAGCAAAAACTTCTTTTATTTTTGTACTTTCTCTGAGAATTATTTTTTTCTGAAAAATCTCAGCATGTTTATTTTATTTTGAGGAGTATTCCTCGGCAGATTCGGGAAATGCTTTTAAAATACATACTGGGGTAGTTCTCCATATGAGTAAATATTATTGTAGAGATTAGAAAGTTACATTAATGTAGGACTCAGAGAAGAATGTGCCATTGATTGCCATGTTGTAAACATGCATCCAACTTCTTCCTGAATGAAGTACGGCATCCAGGAGAGCCAGAAATGGCAGGGGTTGCAGAACATTTGATGTTCAAGAATATTTAACACAGCGTTAATTATAAAGGTGAAAATTTGCAAACAAATCAAAGTCCATCATCGTGGGATTGGTTACTTATCTTATGGTATAGCCATACAGTGGAATACTCTGCACTCACTGGAAATGGCAGTGTGGAAGCCTATTTCTTGATAGGGAATAATGGTAAGTAAGGAAAGCAGATTACACAACGTACCACTTCAGAGGGGGAAGGAGAAACAATTATAGGTACACACACATCTGTATAGATATGTATGCCAAAACATAATTTTGTACAAGTCATTTTTGAGTTTTATCCATATACTTTAAAATTTTTAATACTGAACATGAATTGACTATGAAATGAGGAAATTGGTAAATGAGAAGAAAATTTTTTTAGTTAAGTTCATCTTACAAAAACCTTATCTTCTGATACACATTTCAAAGGCGGTCCTTCAGTGCTCTTTACTCAGATTGATGTGTTCATTGTTATTAGGTGCCTACCTTTAAGTCCTATCTGGAAGAACACTCACAGTGACCCAGTGGGCTAAGTACTGCTGTCACCTATCTACTTGCCATGTGAGGAAACTGAGTGTCATGGAGGTTAAAAGGTCAGGCTGGATCCTTCTCCCTGGTGATCTGGCTTCAGGTCTCCTTGCTCTGTCCAGTCCTTGGTAGGCGCAGCTCATAACTGCCCTTAAAGAACTGAGAGTTTGTGGTCTCGAAGTGGTGTAGGCTTTAAGAATCCTTACCTGTGTGTAGACAGCCTGGGATCAGTGTGGCCCAGCCACTCCAGAGCGGCGGAATGGTTCTTAACGACAGTGGAGTTCCTATTTCCAGGACAGTGTTGAACCCCAAGGAGAAGACTCTTGAGGGGCCTCCTGCCCACGCTCGTCCTCAGTCAGTCAGAGAAAGACACCTACACGATGTGGACATGTAAATGGGATGGCTCAGAAGTGATCTTTGGAAAAGATGAATCAAGGCCGTCTTGAAATCTGGTCATTTGGATGTTTGGTGACCTCTTGAAAGTTGATTTTGTTAGTCAGCGACACTAGTGTATTGCCTTAGTTCTTGATTATATCTATCCTATGCTATCAATGCCGTAGTTTTAGTCAATTTTATCTTTTCTAAATTGAGAGAAGAATCCCTTCATGTACTTGACCCCTGTTAACCCACTCTTATATGACTTGATCCCGGTTATTATCATCTTCCCTTGGAGATACCATTTTGTACCTTCCTTTAGTCATTTGAGGATTCAAGATTATTTTCCTGAACCTTGACTTACTCCATTCTTTTATTCAGCAAAAATTGTTTTTAGTGTTTTCATATGCTAGGTCCCGGAAATACCGAGATGATATCTTTCAGTATGGGAGGGCCTCAAACTAAAGGATGAATGTATGATGTTGGGAATGTGCTGTTGTCTGATGAAGCATTATCTCACTGTTCTTCAAAGGGTTCCTTGTCACACATACCAGGCTTCTGGTATGCTCTTTGGATTACAGTACTCCTTATCAACCTTTGGATTGCAAATTGCTCTTTTAATCTTTTTTTTTTCAGGTATACCTAACTTCCATCTTCCCTTCCTCCTTTTCTTCCTTTATTTATTTTTGAATACATTTTAAGTATTTTACTTCTTTAAAAAATAAGTTCATTTTTTTTTTTAAGTAAGCTCTACACCCAGGGTGGAGCTTGAACTCATGACCCCGAGATCAAGAGTCACTTGTCTACCAACTGAGCCAGCCAAGCGCCCCTTAAGTATCTTATATTTTTATAATCATTAGACAACAGCTTCTGACATGGGACTGGTATATACTGTGCTGTACTTGGAAGTCCTATGTCTTGTCATTTTACTGCCTAGAGAAAAGCACAGAGGACTGTTTGTTTTGAATCTTTTTTCCTTGGAATACTTATATCTGTAATAATTATAATTTCCTCATAATGCTTTCTAATGGAGGGGTATGTGTGGTTGCTAAACTCTCCTTAACACCCTACACTGTGATGTGAATGAGGATGGAAACCTTTGCCCTGAGGGCACAGTTAGTAACTGGGCTGCTTCAAGTGTGGGACTGTATTCAGGTTCCGCCTGAGGAGCCCCCTTCCCTCCTCAAAGTGAGGTAACTACGGCCACCCTGGCAGCCGTTTGTGCCAGTTCTGCTGCCATGTTTTTGGTGAAGCAGAGGGGGGCTGTCCCAGTTTTGTCTCTGCCATGCAATATTGGTGACTCTGCTACTACTCTAGCATATGTAAAACACCAAGCTCTTCCACAGCAAAACACCCTCCACTGTAGTTTTACTTGTTTTCGGAAGTGGGTCTGTGTGTGTCTAGAGTTGATTTCATTGCTACTAGAGTAGCTAACGTTTTTAAAGACATTATCATCTTGTTTTTGCATAACCGGACATGTTGACATGAGCTGACAAGATCTTTCTAGCTACAGAAAGGAAGAAAATAAGAGGCTCCCCCCAAAACTCATCTATTAGTACTTAAGAAAATTGTCTGAGCTCTAATGTAATTTGTCCTATATTTACCCTGGTACCAACTTGCCTGGATAATTATTTTCTTAGCTTTTATTTGTGGCAGAAACAGAATCAGACCACTGTATTCAAAGATCTAGTATGAACTAGAGTACTGGCTTTTAGTTTTTGCTTTAAGATTCCTGAAATGCCACTTTTACCCCTAATAATTTATTCACTTAATAACCCATCAACAACCTTAAATGAAAAAGAGCTAAATTTTTAGTAATTTTGTTTGAATTCAGGCCTTAGCAATGAATTGTCATGTGAAAGTCATGTGAAATGATAAGCACAGGAGGTGACTTCTCTGTAAGGCCAAATCTGCTCGAGACCATGCTTCCACATCAAGATGATCTGACTCAGAGCTCCCACAATGACATGCACCAAAAAGGAAGTTCCAGGACCATGCTTTCAAAACAACCAGAAGAGGCACAAGAATGTGGACCCATAGATATGACCCATATGTGGACCCATATATTGTTAAATGATGAGTGTTGCTTGATCTGATTCTCTGATTTCTCTTGATACACTGTCCTTTGGCTATTTTGTTGAGGAGAGGTAAGGTTGAGGGAAAGTTTCTGGAGTGGGGGGAAAATGAAATTTTTGAGACAGGAGAATACAGGCGAAAGCTTGGTTCCATGGAACAAGGATTCGGTCTATGGAGGAACTAGACAAGCGCAGATGGATCAGGATCGGACGCCAAGGCTGTTTAACAGTGCCCTTGAGAATAAACAGACCGCCCCCCCCCACCCGCCCACGGAAGAAAGAAATCTTTGCTTCTTCCTCTGGTTACCTAGTTTTATGAGCACTTGTCAGTTACTTGCAAAAGCCTCCTTGTTCTTGACTGAGCAAACAGGGACATCTGAGTATGGTCCAGCGTCATGCATGTCATGGCCTCGCACTCAACCAGTGATTTTTTTCCCACCTTCTTTTTAGTTGACTAAACAACCATCACCTGAGCGGTTGTGTGGGCCATTTGCCTGTCAAGTAGGCAGGTGGGAAACATTAATTCCTGCTTGTGGGACAGAAACCCAAGGCACAGACAGGCTGCGACCAGCCTCTTGTCACTTCATTGGCCAAGTCAGATGGTCTGTTCTGGTAAGCTGCTGCTCGGCTGCTCATAATAGTACGCGCCCAGTTAACTTCGTGAAATAAATCATCCTACACTATCGGGTGATTTTTTTTTTTTCCAACCAGCTTTGAGTCCTATTTTGATAGCCGTGACTGTGGTCAAGATTCATTTTTGGAAGGATCTAGGGAACATTTTCCCAGAAGGTGACACACTGGCAAGCCACCTGCACTTTCTCGGGATAGAGCCCCACATGTGCCAGAGTGTGTTTGGAGTTGAGTTGTCTGTGGTCAGTCTGTGTGAGGGGACCTCCCTACCCTGCCTCCTGGGGAGCCCGCTTTTTCTGGCTTGTGCAAGTGTGACCCTGCCGCTGGCCCCATGGCCGAGGCTGGTTCTGACCACCTCTCGGTAGGTCTGCAGAGGGTCAGTTACAGGACGGGGCACGGAGAACTTCTTGAAGACAGGAAACAACAACGATGTTCGCCAGTCTGTAGCTTGCTTTTTGTGTGTCCGAGGCGTCCCCCCCTAATAGGCATTGAAGAAGACCACTTCACCTTCCGCCAACACGTATGTTGAGAACGATGGGAAAGGGGCGTGACGTTCAAATTAGTGGATTAAACACCCACTTGCACATTTGGGGTTTCACATATTCCAGCTATTTTTCTTTCACCTTTCATTGATTTTCTTTGTGTGGCTTTTGGCAGCTTTAGTACTGACTAGGATGGTGTGAAAGTTACCAAACATGAAGACAAAGGAGGTGGTAATACAAAGGACTAGGGCTATAGGACGTAATGTTTGGAAACTGTAAGAAAATAAATCCCACTGTAATACTCATTTCAGTGTGAGAAAGACAAATACCGTGTTTCCATGTGGCTTGACTTGACCTATAAGTAGGATAACTGGGTAATATAAAAAGATTTTATGGTGAAGATCTGAGTCTGCAGAACCTTTATCCTCTGAGTTCAGAATGTTTCTAGAAATCATGTGTGCCTTTTCTCCTTAAAGTTCAAGGGAGTTTCAGGTTTTGTTGTTCGTCTCTTATCTCATGGAAATTAGTCAGAAACATTGAAAATCCTTATCTTGTGGATAAACAGAATTCCAGAGATGAGGTCATTTGCTTGGGGCCCTCCCTCGGTCTAGGTCCTAAGTTAGGAGTCACAGAGGTGTCCGGGACTCTCACCCTTCTCACCCACCGGCTCCCATCAGCGGTTCCTGGGCCTTCAGCCTCCTGACTCTCCTGCGCTCGACCTCTCCTCTGCACCGTGTGTCTCTCTGTCCATCTGCCTGTCCTGCCGCTCCCGCTAACAGCTGCCTGCCTTCAGGCCACCCTTGCGGCTCCCTGGAGCTACGGCTTCAGCTTTCACAATGCCTTTCAAGTGCGGCCCGTTGAGCCCCGGTCAGTCGGGACACATGATTTCCTTTTGACTGGGCGCTGCCTCCCTGGCCATTTTCTCCCTCTGATGCCCTGGCTCCAGCCTTATGGAATTATTTGCAGTTTTTTGATGTCCTGTGTTTTCTCACAGCTCTGTGACTTTCTGGCACTGTTCCTTCTCTGTCCTATATCCTCAGCTCCTACTTTCCTTCAAGACTTAGTTCAAACTCAGCTCTTCTGGAAGCTTCCTTGATTTTATCCTCTCCTGCTTCCTTGTCACTGCCCCCAAGAAAGACAGCGTGGAGTGTCCTTGTGAGAGCACTGTGCTCTCTACTAGCATTGGTATGGTTGAGTTTCTTTTTCTGTTTCCCATTAGCCAGTGAAGTCCCGTGAGTGGGAACTTTGTTAATTTTGTATATCTCCAGCTGACCCATGACTGAGGCACAATAGCTACCCATTAAAGAATAGCAAAGCCCCATCTTTCTTGATCCTTCCTTAGTCAGAGGTTCTTTATCAGAGTTCTTGATTAGTAATAGTAACCAGTATCATTAAGCCCAGACTGTCTTCCAGGCAACTGTTCTCGGCACCAGGTATATTCACTCACTGAATCATCACAGAACTTCCACAAACCCATATCCAGTGGTAAAACGGAGCCCAGAACACTTACATGACATGCCTAAAGACACAGCTGTTAAGTGTCAGGATTCAAGTCCTGGCAGATTGGCTCCAGAAATCACTTTCAGTGTGATGTGTTTTATCCCTAGCTCCTGTTTCCAACATGATCTGATTTTATTGGTAGAAAACAGGTAAAAATAGGAAGACTTTAACATGTACCAACTTGTCCTGTCTGAACTAGAGAGGAGAGCTGGGGAGATGGAAGGAGGGAGGGGAAGAGGGAAATGTGTTGATTTAAATGAAGGCATTCATTAATTTACTTGTAACATATTTTAAAGCAAGTAAAGGTTTTACAAATGAATTTAGATTTTACTATTTTTAACAATATTTCCATAAAAGATTTTGGACTGAAAGAAGATGGTGAATACCTAGAATAGCTTTTATTTTTTTTAATCTTTTTTTTTTTTAAGATTTTAGTTATTTATTTATTTATTTAGAGAGCGAGCACGAGCCAGGGGGAGGGGCAGAGGGATAAGCAGACTCCCGCATGCAGACTCATACCAGGACCCTAGGATCATGACCTGAGTCGAAGGCAGACTCTTAACTGACTGAGCCACCCAGGCGCCCCCTAGGATAGCTTTTATGCTGTTAATTTATTTTTATACTACTTTTTAGGTATTTGTAGACTTTTTTTAAAGATTTTATTTATTTGAGAAAGAGAGAGAGCAAGAAAGAGCGAGAGAGAGAGCACAAGCCAGAGGGAGGAGCAGACTCCTGCCGAGCAGGGAGCCCAATGTGGGGCTCGATTCCAGGAACCCAGGATCATGACCTGAGCTGAAGGCCAATGCTTAACCGACTGAGCCACCCAAGTGCCCCGTATTTGTAGAAATTTAACAAAATATTTTTATTCTTCTTTTTGAGCTTTCTCAAAACACCACAAGAATCTTTGTTAACTCTACAGTTTTCAGATGATTTTCACATGCATTATCTCATCTGACATTGAAGCCCTGTGCTTTACAGACTTCTTAGAAAGCTGAGGAATTATATGGGCTGAAGGGGCTTACACACCCTCAGCACCCTCCATACTCTGTGGCCTTGAACACTGCAGCAGGCCCTTACCCTTACCTACCCATGGTAGGGAGAGAAACATTATTTGTAAACTCCTCTGCAGGATGGGAAGCTCTCTCTTTTAAATGCACACTTTTTAAGGATGATGGCTTTCTCTTCCACGACATCTTATCCCATAGATGTTTCAGAACCATCCTACAGTAGATATCTAGTAAATGCCTGTGGATTACCGAAGTGAAGAAAAGTCATATAGTGATCTGAGGTAGTATTTATTCCAGTAAATGACTGGCCATCTTACTAATAAGTTCTTGGAAGCCAGTTGAAGGTAATTTATAAGAGGCATTACCACCACCGCCACCGCCCCCACCCCATGATAGCTGGCGAGCCTGTGAGTGAGGAGGCTTTGTTCAGCAGTGTGCTCTTTACAGTGTCATGTCCCAAACATACGATTAAGTCCCGGAGAGAAAGCATGCACTGAAATATTAGCAGATGCAGAGTCCAGACGGTAAGCACAGTGAGATATATACCCTCATAGACTCAGTCTTTATGTAAAATAGTCTGTAAAGATCTGCAAATGAGTTTAAGAAAAATAATTCTCACAAAATGATAGGGCAAGGAAACTTTGCCTACTGCCTACTGGAGAATATTCTCCCCTCTCCTAGGGGAGAATAATGATAGTAGTTTTCTAGCACTTACTATATGACAGCCAAGGTGACAAGGACTTGGCTGTATTATTACTCCCCGTTTTACAAATGAAGCAGCTGAAGTCAGAGACTGCCCAAGGCCACACAGCTTAGAAATAATCCAGCCCAGGTTCAAGCCTGACTCCAGAGCCTATGCTCCCAACAACCACTGCACTGTACTGTACTTGGAGCGATACCCCCCAGAACCTCCAGACACACCTTCCTTTAGAGGAAGTCTCCTCACAGCTTATGTTTTGTCAAGAATTTCTATTACTTCCATTCCCAACCTGGACATAAATACTGCAAATCACTGCATGGACTTCATTGTGTTGTGACATTTTTTTAGGCACATGGAAATTCTTACATGTTTAGCTTTAGTGATCATTAAATAAATATAAAGCAAGCAACGGATTCATTTTCACTTATCTCATTAACAGTTTATTATTTAGAATTAAAATATTCAGGTTGGCTGAGAAGCGGTAAAGTCCAAACTGTCACTAGTAGGAGGGTAAATTGCTAAAATGTTTTTGTAAACCAAAAAACATCAATTTATATGTAAAGCTTTAAAAACATTTTTACCCTTTGCCCGAGGAATTCTGGTACTGGGATTCTATCCGGAGAAATACTAGAAAGTATAGAAGTATAGAAAAGACCTTTATGTACATAGATACACGGTCAAATAGTAGAATGTAATGACCCTTTTATTTTCAGTTGTGCTGAATAATTTGTATACACATGCATTTAAGTGTAGGAATACTCCATTTTAAAATAACTTTGTTCCTTTCCCTTCGTTCTAAAGTCTCCTGAAATATTGGCATTATTTACTGATTTTTACTGGATACTGTTTTTTGCAATAGTGAGGCTCACACAGAAGTACAAAGTAAACCCTATTTTTTGGCATAGATTTCCAGTATGATCCATTGTTTTCACCCACCTCAGTATTAGCTAATTAGAACTGCCAGTCATCAGAGAGTCTAAACTATGTTAAGGATACAATTTTTGTTAGAAATGTTAATAGTTGCTGTTGAGTAGATTCTATTCCTTTACTTTATACTTTAATTAGGCTTCTAAAATTTTACAAAAGACTTTGTTAGAAGAACAAAGTATGTAGTACTTACCTCTGTGACTTGTTGGGGCCTCCGGGCAGTAGCAGTTAAGTATTTGCCCAACTGAAGTAGGTTACTTTGGCATGTTAAGAGAGATTATGTAGGCGTCCTTTTATGGTGCTGGCTTTTTTTTTTTTTCCTGTCACCCTGTGACTGAGCATAGTAATGATCAGTTAACCTCATGTATGCGTGTGCACTTTTTTTTTTAAATGGGAAGTGAAATTTTTCTGTTAATGATTTTTTTTTTGAGTAATTATCCAAAAACCCCTTGGTAATATCTATGGAACTTCATAAGTTTTTTAATAAAAATTTAAGTATTAAAAAAATTCTTTGAGAGGAAGACTAAAGCAGTAAACCTTAACCCGGAAAAAAAAAAAAAAGGAATGACAATTACTAATGATTTTGTATCCATATTCTGCATAAAAGTATGAGCTTTTAAAATGTTTTAAAGAAAAAAAAGTCAACGGTGATAATTCTGTCTACCTGGAAACTTGATGCAGAGAGTAGTTTACTCATTCTATATCTTAAGAGCTTATGAGAAAGAAGCAAAGGTTTCTGTGGTGACTGGGAGAGTGATGTTCTTTTGCATTGTACAGGGACTAGTCAGTGTTTTCAGGCAGGAGACCAACTGACAGAATCTGTGACTGCAGGGACGTGAATGACAGGGGAAGAGTTGGAGGGGACATCTTACAGCTGAAAACCCAGCGTCTGTGCATAGAATGGAGACCTATGCTCCTCATCTTATAGTTCTGGTTGGCTCAGTTTAAACCAACTATGTAACAGGGGAGTCAAAATGTGAGTTATACGGAGGCTAAGTGAATAGAAGTATACTGGTCAGAACGAGAGAGGTGATAGGTACACTTAACCCAGGACTGATCTGGCCATTCCCAGTCAGCTCTGGGTGCTGCATTTTACGAAGGGTATAGATGACCAGTGTGACCGGGCTGGTGAGGGGTGTGGATCCCAGGTCTTAGGAGAAATGAATGAATAAACTGAGAATGTTTAGGGTTGGCAGAGAGGTGATCATCATCCTCATGCATATGAAAGCCGTCTCATAGAAAAGGATTGAGTTGTGATATTGATCTTCCTGACTCCAGAGAATAGAAAGAAGGCCAGTATGAGGAAGTTACTGGAGACAGCTTTCAAATCAAAATACAAAGGTAGTTCCCAAAAGTTAGGATCATAAAAAAAATGGAATAGGCTGTTTCTTATTTAGGTGCCTACATAAACTGGTTGACTATTTTGAGGGATGATATTGAGCGAATTGAATCATTTTGGTAGGAATTTGTAACTCTGACTTCAGATCTTCCACTCCAGGATCTGTCAAAATGGCCAGAGGGGCTTCAGCCCATCGGTGGTGTCATTCCCTCTAGAAGAGTACTTGGTTCTTCTCAGCTCTAAAAGGCTAAAGATCTGTAAAGGAACACTGTCAGAAGAGCAACAACACCCAATTCTTTGGGCCTCCTCCTCACTGTCTATAAAATAAAAGTATTTAAGTAAATGATTGCCATGATATTTCCTAGTGCAAAAATTCTGAGGGGGAAATAAAGAGATTTTATGATTTGCTGGATAAATATGATAAAATATTCTAGAATTAGTTTATTTAAAACTTAGATTGAAGAATACTTGAAGAAGACACTGTCAGGAAGCTTCTTAATTTGTTGAAAGGACATCCTCATGGTGTGTTTTGGCTTTTAATTTTTGAAATAGTTTTTATTAAGTAAAACGTTGTATAATGAAGAACTTACCTAAAGTGAATGTTCTAGCAAACTGGATCTACCTTCTATTTGGTATTAGAGTGGTCAAGTATGTAAAGAAAAGGCAGTGGGGTGATTGTCCTGTGAGATGCTATGGGGCATAGAGTGCAATCATTGCATGAGCCCATAAACCTTATTTTACTTGCCTTTGAAAGTTACCAGGATTTCTGTTGTTGTACTGTAAAAGTGCAGTCAGTGTCCTTTTCTGTAGAAGAGATAAGATGGACATTTGTGACCTGAACTGAGTGTTTTCTAGTATTTTATCCTATCAAGTACAGTTGTAAGTATATAGTAGATACTCAATAAGTATTCGTGACATTAGTTGAAGGAAGGAAGGAATTATAACCTGTTTTCCTCTTTTCTGTACTTCAGCTTCATATGCTTAAGCCAGACAGGGCTTCCAGAAATTAGCTAGTCACAGTATGAAAAGGGTCAGACTGAATTATTGTTGACAGTATACAGAACAGATGTTGTATCATAAAATAAGGAAAAGAGAAAAACTGGTCAGTGACTAATAACATGATATTTTGTGAAGTCTGTGTGTATAGAAATAGCAATGGAAATTTCTACAAAACAACCTGTATGTTCATGGTCTGAAATATGTGCTTTTGTATTGTGGGTATATGTGGTCTAGTACTTAGTCATCGTTTAAAACTATATAGTGATTAATATAACTTCTAAGGAATTTTTAAACTTCTTTTATTGGTATGTAAGACATGAACTGTGGTCATTAAAATTCCTATCAGTATTTTCTTAGTTTACATTGAAATGTAACCTCAAACAGGAACATGGCCTCAGATTCTCTATTGTAACATCACCCTTTCCACTGTGTTGCTACATGTAAACAGAAGAACTTCTATAAATTAAGTACCTCAAAGAACATGTTCTGTGGTGAGATCTCTCAAGTGCAACCAAAATAGAGTTTTCTTATTATTATCAAGAGACCAGCAGGCCATATTTTGAGTAGGTATATGAAACTATATGTTTTAATCCCATTAAAGATAATAAAGCAAGACGCATTTTTAAACAAAAGGCAAATTCTGTGTAGTTTGCCATTTTAAAGAGAAATTCATTTATTCAGCAAATATTTTTTAAGCAACTCTTCTGTGCCAGGCATGGTTTTAGAGAGCAGTGATAAAGCAGCAAACAAAACCAACAGAAATCCCAGGCTCCACAGAGTTTCCCTCCAGTCAGAGAAACAGGTGATAAGTAAGTCATGTGGTAGATTAGGAGGTTATAGGTGCTGTGGGGAAAGGAACTAGAGAATTCATAGTGGGGATGGGTCAGTGAGGTAGGGTAGGGGCTGCACTTTGGAATGAAGTGGCCAAGGAGGGCTTCTCTGAGAAGGAGCTATGTGAGTAAAGACCAGAAGAGTGCCCATGTCTCTGGGAAGGTGGCCAGGAGATGCACGTGCCCTGGGGCACCACATGCCTGCTGGGGCTGGAGTGAGACACACGGCTGGTTCAGCATGGAGGGAGCAGCCAGAGGGAGTGGCGGGGACGCCACGTAGTAGAAGACCAAGTTCAGGGTCCAGGATGAGGGGCCTTTTAGGTCTTTGTAAAGACGTTGGCTTTTACTCTTGGGTGGGGACTCAATGGAGGATTTTAAGCCCAGGAGTGACCAACTTGTACTTTTTAATGGAAAGAATACACAGCTACTTAATCAACTTTGTTTGAGTTTAGGTAAGTTGAAATGGAACTAAACAGTTCTTTTGTGTAGTATTTAGAATGGCAGTTTTTTTTTTATTTAAATTCAGTTAATTAACGTATAGTGTATTATTAGTTTCAGAGGTAGAGTTCAGTGATTCATCAGTCTTGTATAACACCCTGTGCTCATTACATCACGTGCCCTCCTTGATGTCCATCACCCAGTTACCCCAAACCCGACCCCCCTCCCCTCCAGCAGCCCTCAGTTTGTTTCCTATGATGAAGAGTTTTTTATGGTTTCTCTCCCTCTCTGATTTCATCTTGTTTTATTTTTCCCTCTCTTCTCCTATGCTCCTCTGTTGTGTTTCTTAAATCCTACATATGAATGAAATCACATGAATCTTTCTGTGATTGACTTATTTTATTTAGCATAATACCCTCTAGTTCTATCCATGTCGTTGCAAATGGCAAGATTCCGTTTTTTGATGGCTGAGTAATATTCCATTGTGTGTGTGTGTTTGTGTGTGTGTGTGTGTGTGTGTACGTACATACACCACATCTTTATCCATAGAATGGCAGTTTAAATAACTCTCTGTTCATTAAAATTGCTTTGTCAGTTTTTTACAATCAAACATTGAGAGTAAATTATGTGTAAGGATTTACATAGGTATCAGGGGATGCAATGCCAAGTAAAATATTGTGCTTTCTGATAGAATAATCTATTGGGAGACTTTTTAAAAAAGATTTATTTATTTACTTGAGAGAGAGGTGGGGGGAGGGTCAGAGGGAGAGAATCTCAAACAGACTCCCCGCTGAGCATGGAGCCCTACGTAGGGCTCAATCTCACAACCCATGAGATCACAACCTGAGCCAAAATCACAAGTTGGAGGGTCAACTGACTGAGCCACCCAGATGCCCCTCTAATGGGAGACTTTTAAAAACCTTATAGTTAGTTAAAATGTGATCATAAAAATAAGCTCAAAATGGATTAGACCTATATGTGAGACCTGAAACTATAAAACTCCTAAAAGAAGACATAGGCAGTAATCTCTTTGACATCGGCTATAGAAACATCTTTCTAGATATGTCTCTTCAGGCAAGGGAAACAAAAGCAAAAATAAACTTTTGGGACTACACCAAAATAAAGAGCTTTTGCACAGTGAAAGAACCATCAACAAAACAACAAGGCAACCTACTGAATGGGAGAAGATACTGCAAATGATTTATCTGATAAAGGGTTAATATCCAGAAAACATAAAGAACTTCTGTATCACAACACCAAAAAACCCACAAATAATTTGATTAAAAAAATGGACAGAGGATCTGAACAGACATTTTTCCAAAGAAGACATACAGATAGCCAAAGACACATGAAAAGATGCTCAGTTGTCAGGGACTTGCAAATCAAAACCACAGTAAGATATCATCTTACATCTGTCAGAATGACTACAGTAAAAAAGATAAGAAATAACAAGTGTTGGCAAGGATGTGAAAAAAAAAAAAGAATCCTTGTGCACTGTTGGTGGGAATGCAAATTGGTGCAGCCACTGTGGAAAACAGTATGGAGGTTCCCTGAAAAATTAGAAACAGAATTACTATGATCCATTAATTCCACTGCTGGGTACTTAACCAAAGAAAATGAAAATACTAATTCAAAAGGATAAATGCACCCCTTATGTTTATTGCAGCAGTATTTACAATAGCCAAGATATGGA